GATTGATTGCGAATGAGTCACAATAAACCTATCCTACCCTGCGTACGGTTGTTCTAATTTGCTAGCAGGCTACGGGTACGAAACTACACAGTGAAATACAAACGTAACAAAGAACACGATCAGCCAATTAACTACTGGACGCAACGCGGGCCTCTCACTCCGCTGTCCCAAAAGGGAGACTGCCTTGATTTATGTGTACTGAAGATCCTGATGACACTGAGACAAGGGCATGTAGGGAATAAGCTGCAAACCTGTCGCTCCTGTATCAAGATGAGCAGAAGCGGAATCAATTTTTTTATCTAGGGCATTTTTAGAGACACGTTGAAGATAGACAACCGACTATCCTAGCAGTAGGCCTGAAAAATCTCAACTTCAGTTCACTCAATCATTCAGCCGATCAGAAACGCTCTGCACACGACTGCTAGATGAACAGACTGAATCGGGTAAATGGAGTTAACTCCGCACATTATCCTCATGGTACACGTACGTCAACGTCCACATTCTCATCGCGTTTCACGTGATCCACTGACAACCTCATTCAGTTTACTTAGGTATACTTATCCGTTGCAGGACATGTTTTCGCGAATCGATTGTTTCAACTGCCGCTTGGACAGGACCTCATTATGTGGTCATAACATCCAGCTTTTAACGGAACAACAAGGCTTGTGATAAAATGATAACTCAACACAATCTCACTCCATTCCTACACATAGTTGGCTGAGGTCACATCGTTCGGGCCAATGAAAGCGTTCATTCCAGGCCTGCTTTAGAAATCTTCGAGACATCATGCTCCGACGTCCTAGTTTTGATGCTTGGACAATTTATTCCTTTTTCTTATCCATTTTTCATCGATCGGAAAAAACAATTAACCAGAAGACAGAAGTCAAAATGGATGCACGACAATGTAAAGTTATTTAAGTCAGCATCCAAAAACTCAAACCGAAACACAGACAGTCGTGCTGATGGAAATATATCTGAATATATTCTGAGTTGAAACGATAATATTGTACTTTTGCCCCAAAAGATCATTGAAGTTGATGAATCACAATCACTATCATGTTTCACATTCAATGTTTGCATCACTCATCACTTGAACATGTTCATTTATTCAACTATTTTAGGTGGAAGATGCGTGGAAATCGACCGAATTTACTGTCATTCCGTACAAGGATAGCAAAGATGTCTTCATTGTCGGAGGCACAGATGAAATTCAACAATTGTGGGATGATTCCAATATCAACATCGCCACAATCGCCTCATCTCGTCACGTGGGTCCGATCAAATCACGTGTCGAAGAATGGCAAATTCTGTTGGACTTGTTCGGAAAAACTCTGGTTAGCTGAAACATGTGACGTGTAAACCATGAGCGAAGACAGACATAGCATTTCTAATTCCCTCCATTTGCGGTCTACCCGAGTAGTTTCTTTCAATACAACTATAACTTTACTCTGATGGCGGAAACCAAATCCAAGCTTACGGTACTTCTGGCCAGAGTTTACCACGCGAGGCGTTTTTCGTTAGGGTTGCCCTCTCTCTTTCTATTTAACTTAGCTTGTGTTCTGCCCATGAAGTCGAAGATTTGATCCCCAGTTGCGTCGATGGATTCGCACTGCTGATGAGACCCAACCAGGTCGAAACAGTTGTCCAATGCTTCCTAGTTTTTCAGTTCACGCTTCGTTTGCCATAGTCACGACAAATTCCCATTTGAAATTTAATCAAATCCTCCATTATGCACATGAACTTAGTCACTATTCATTAGTCATTATTCCGAATAGTTCGAATGCTAATATAGTTATGTTCGGCATGCGTTTCGCACCTTCAAAGTGTAATATGTTGTTACAAGATTGGGTAGTAAAAACATTTTGCCATCTGAACTGCTACATTTCACCCGGCGAACGAAGCATGGGTGAAGTGTTCGCACGCATACAGACGACTCGATTGGTATTCGACAGCTCGAGACACTTTTGGAACCATCGTGACATCCGGCTGTCAGTGGTACATCGATTGTATGCTGCTGACAATCCAGCTGTACTGCGCAAAGACTTGATCATTTCGAAAACATAAAGATAGACTGTTAGTATTCGAACACCGCGCTACCTACACCGTATTGCGAGTCGCGTGGGCAACCGGACAAGCAATGCTGAGGTTAGATGGAAAGTACTAAGTAATCGCGGTCGCTCACTGGGGCAAGTGCTCCACGTGGTGTGACACTATAAAAATCCTAAACAGGAGACTTACTCACATAGATCGCATTAAGCGTCTTGGTTGGAGGCCTCAAGAACAATATAATCGATGGTTATGAGCACAGAATGATACAACTGTTAAGTCGAAGTTGGCACAGATCACGAATTACAATTTATGATTCACAAATCCCGGACGCAACGGAAACACTAGCACTTGCATGCTAGTATCTCCCGTCACCGAGACACAGGAAACAGACCACAGAAGTAACAGTTCGTTTATGGAAATCAATCAGTGGGATTAATTTAGTTGTACAAAGGCAGTTTACCGGTTAAACAGGTGTCAAACAATCAACTGCTAGTACTCTTGACGTCATACAGCTTCTGTCTGGACAGTACAACTTCTGATTGGTCGACACGATGGGCCTGTAGTTTGTTGTCCAGAAACTAACGCGTAGTTGCTTGGCTGCGGTCACCTGGGTTGGTTGCCTCACCACAATAACTGAGTGTTGTAAACAGTTGCACTTATGCATCTACTTAACGTCTTCCCCACCATAGTCTTCATCAGTTCATCATTTCTCGACTTTTACTCTGAAACTGATTTGAAAATTCCAACATACCCTTTACTGCTTCATTCAAATGGGAATTCAGGAGATACCAAGCAAAACCGTTGCACGAAGCGGCATGAAACATTTTCTTTGCATAATGATTATTGCAATTTGATTTGTTTAGTGCACAATCTGGACTCAGACTTGTGCGTAATACGCACTGATCGAGAACCGAATTGCTCCGTCCTAGATTTTGAATTATCTCCACTCTCACGTGCACGATCATCACCGTTTTTTGAGAATCTAGTTGGCAATCAAATGGAAAGCCGAAATGTGAATGTTGACCAAATTGGGTTTATTTTAACGAAAATATGTCCGAGAAAAACGGATAATAAGTGCCAAAGTGAAACAGACGATTCATGCAGGTTAGGGTTGCAAAGACAATGAGTAAATGCACTAGCGCCAATGTTCATGATTCAGCTTATCAAGTGAGTGATGGAGGATTTGAGTTGATTTCAAAGGTTATTCGTCGTGTATATGGCAAACGAAACGTGAACTGCCGCTTATCCTTCAGTGTCTATAACCATTGGTTTAAGTGATCCCAACGTTCCCATATGGGAATCCCAAAGCTGCCTATGTGAGCAAGTCTCGTGGTTAGGGTTCTGATATCCTCATACCAAGGCTTAGTTTGACTGCCCTTGACCTGTCTCGACACAAATCGCGCGCCATGGCAGCCTATTTGGTGACAGGCGTAAAACATTACCGAACCACTGTAGTCTATGGAGGTTGAAGATTTGTTTCAGTGGACGACCGCGATTACCTAAAGCTGTGCACCTAACCACAGCATTACTCGTCCGGCTTCCCCATCAGACTCGTGCAATTCGACGTAGACAGAGGTGTTGGAACACCGACAGTCTCTTTTTATCCTTTTTCGGTAGTGGCCAGGTGTCTGCACCGTATAGTATAACCTGTCGAAGCACTGAAGCATACACTCGACTCTTCACAGACAGCTGGATATCGTGAAATCACCACAAATTTCCCTCATCCTTTATGTTTGACTGTTTGACTGTTTTTTTTTACTTTTCTCTGTTGCCGTACTAAAGCCTAATATAAACAATGTTTTCTATGGTATTCACCAATTTGAGATACAGCTAAATCGTTTTGGACATAAATCGTGCAGCATTGCCTTATGATCTTTCTTTTCAAAATGTCACCAGTTGTCAAATGCCAATCGAGCCTTCTGTATGCGTGCAAATATTTCATTCGCGATGCGTCTGTCGGGTTGGATGTTACAGCCCAGATAGCAAATTTGTCTAACAAATGGAAATTTCCTCTGTGTCATCTATTAAACACCTATTATTGCTAACATACGAAGTGAAGTCTAGTGTTCTCTCCACGGAAGCATCTAAGCCTTTTCACACGCAAGTGGAGTTCTGTGTACTCAACGGATAGAATTAGTCATGAAGAAACATTTTACGACTCCCGAAAATCTCTGTTCTAGTTGATATTCCTTCTTATTAATGCGCTCTGATAAAGTATACATTCAATTCCTCAGTCACCAGTCAACACTTATTAATCTGCCGCCTACCTTTCACCTGCAAATTTCTTATACCACGGAATTTCTCGTACAACTTGACTCAGTAATTTCCAGTGTGAGAAATACAATGCACTGAACTTCAACGTTCTACCGCACTTTCTTTTTCACAATTCTCTAAGGAAGTAATTGGTGACCGATGACCTTCGTGTTGAAAATAACCCCTACCCCTAACCGTGAGAAAATGAGGCAAATTGTGATTTAGTTTGATTTTCAATAATCCTTTTACGAGGTTTTGGTACAAGAAGTATCATATTAGTCCCTTGTCAGACTGCTCGAAGTAACCTCCAGAAACACCACTTGAACACCACTTCTGAGAATCCTTCTTGTCTGTAATTTCATCATCAGATCTCCTCCGTTAAACGTGAACAATATGCTTTTAAATACTTCATCCACCAGTGTGATTCATACTGAGTGGTGCTGACTGGTATTCAGTCAGTTTCGGTCATTGATGCACACCGGTCCCTAGAATTGACGGTTTAAACTTGGCAACAGCTACTCTACTTTGTGGATTGAGAGTTTCCACGCTGCCCGGCTCAATAACACGCTTGGTATATCGAGGTCTTACGTAGTGGATCCATTTGATTCCCGGGTTAAGTAGATCATCCTTTTGATGATGATGATGATGATGATGATGATGATGACGATGATGATGATAATGATGATGATGATGATGATAAACAGTGAGTAGCCTTCTCAGTTACATNTCCCTGTGGGGTCTCCTCCTCCTCGTCCTTCTCCTCTTCATTATCATCTCCCTTCATGCAGGACGAATGGCTGCAATGTCAACGGAGTTGGCTCTATTTGGAAAGCATTTTCTCCGCTCCGGATATTCAACGTCAATTACCGAGCGAGGCAAAAAGTTTCATGGCCGTGGACAAATCGTACAAGGATGTAATGCGTAAAGTACAAAAAGTTCCCCTGGCCATGCGTGCAAC